TCCTCCCGCGGCCCCCGCCGGCGGCCTGGGCGCGGACAGGACCTCCCGGGGTCTCCGCGGCCCCGGCTGTCCCGGCCGGCGCTGCAGTTTACGGCGGAGGGTCACACCTAAGTGCTCCTTCCTTCCTTTTCCGACGGGGCTGTAAATTAGATTCTCTCTGTCCCCTCTCAGCTCCAGCAAGGTCGAAGTTCTACGTGCGGGACCCGCCGAATGACAAACCTGACTGGCTGAAAGTTGGGCTGACCTTGGGCACCGCCGCGTTCCTCTGGTTCTATGTGAGTGTCCCCGCGCGGCGCGGCGCGGCGGGGCGGTTAGTGTTGTAATCGCCGGTGACATGGCTTCGTAAAGGGACGTCTGAAAAAGGCCAGCTCTTAAAAATTTAAGATTTTAGAAGTATGGAAAAAAATGTGATGAGGCCGAAACTTTCTTTTAATTTTTAATTTTATTTTGGTTTTGAGACAGGGTCTTGCTATGCAGTTCAGGCTGGTCTTGAACTCAAGTTGTAGCCCAGGCTGGCCTCGAACTCGCAGCAATCTTCCTGCTTCAGCCTCCCGAGTACTAGGATTACAGCCATGCGCCCGCATGCACGGCTTGAAATTTATTGTTGCTTAGTATGGTTTTGTTAGGATCGGTGCTTTTACCAAATATGAACTTCATCTCTGAAGCTCTTTGGGGTTTTATGAAAGCACCACTGGGATAAACCCGTCGCACAAATTCAGTGTTGTTGGATCTCTGAAACGGTAGGTTTTAATCAACATTTGGTTGGGAATTGTTGGGAATTACATTTAGCCATACCAGTCTGTTTCTTGCTGTTACCTTTATGTCAGATGTTTTGCATGTAAACTCATTGGAATGTTGCGATGTGGCACATACTTCATTGTTGGCTCTTTACAAATGAATACACTTGGACACGTTAGTTAGTAGAAAGAACCCTGATCCCCCGACTTCAGAGACCACACTGTACTATAGACCACTGTGAAACATGGCTTCTCTAAAGAGAAAATTATTGTTTAATGTTGACTAAAAGTATCTGCTGTGTTTGGTACATAACGTGTTTGGGCTTCTTTCACGGCCTCCTGGGCCCAGCTCTTGGTCTTTCGTTTTGGATTTTCTCTTTAAAGTGGTTCAGATCTTTGACCCAGAAAGGGTAAGAAGTGTTGAAGGTCACTTACAATTTAACAGTAACTGCTGCTTTTCCATAAATACTTGTTAGGATGAAAATGTGCACGCTCATAGTAAAAGGTTTTTCCTGAAAGAAGTTTGATGGCTGCTGAGAGCCCCATGATCAAAATTGGGACTTTGATCGACACGACCATCATCAGCCTTTGTTCCCATTGTAAATTGTACCAGACGGTGCTTCTGGGAAAGTAGCCGAGGCTGGCGTCCAGTTCATACACAAGTAGTTGAGGGATGAGGGTCACTTGCTGCATCAAACATCTAAGATTAGGTGTATAACACACATCAGCCGGCCTGGACCCTTACATCCTTCTGTAGTAAGGCTTTCAAAAGTATTTATTATCCACCATTTGATCTTAGCCAAAAGGCTGAGAAGTGATATTTATTACCCACCAAATGAAGTAATTTTTTTGATACAAGTTAGATTTTAAAGGTTGCCTTCTTGCTGGACGTGATGGCACACGCCTGTAATCCCAGAACTCGGGAGGCTGAGGCAGGAGGATCGTTGCAAGTTCAGGACTAGCCTGGGCTACAAAGTGGGCTCAAGGCCAGCCTGAACTACATAGCGAGACCCTGTCTCAAAAAGACAAAAAAAAAACAAAACAAAAAACAGCAAAGGTCACCTTCTAAAATTTACTATATCAGATTGTAGTCAACACATGTATTCTGGACTTTTGAATCCTATAGCTTTTTATGTCTAACCAGATTAGTAGTTAATCTATCCTGTTCTACATGGGTAAAGGTATCTTTACTTAGTTGCCTCCTCTTTAAGTTGCCAGAAAGATTACCTTTCTAATTGTAACTATTAACTTGTAGCTTATCAAACAACATAATGAAGATGTTCTAGAATATAAAAGAAGAAATGGATTGGAATAAGCTTTGGAAATACTTCCATAGTAAGTATACAGTTTTATAGGGTGACTAGACTATGCAAGTTCATTAGATCTCTTTTTAAGTACAATATTTAATACTTGATACTTTTTAGGACCCGATTCTATCCTTGACACACTGATGACTTTTTGATACTTTGGTCCAACATGGTTTAACATAGACATTTTTACTCGTTATATTGGACTGTGTTCAGAGAAAGTTATACTCAAGAATGAAATGAAAATATTTTTTGGGAGAGGGGAGAGGTGTGAGACAAAGTCTCGGGATGTAGTTTAGGATGGCCTTAAACTCACTGTGTAGCCCAGGCCGGCCTTGAACTCACAGCAGTCCTCCTGCTTCAACCTCCCAAGTCCTGAGATTACAGGCATGTGCCACCACACCCAGCTCAATTTCACTATTTTCTTAAATCTAACCTTGTTTTACTCATTGCCATCGTAGCACTTATGACAAGTTATTATTTGTGTATTTCTTAGTATCTCTACAGCATATCCCACACTTAAGTGTAGTTTCCATAATAAAAGCACTGTTTTACTTACGGTTATATACTCAGCAACTTGCTCAATGCCTCACCAGTCTAAGAGTTTAGTATTTGTAGAATGGATGAATATATAAGGGCAATAGATTTTTGAATTTTTTTTCTTGTAACTGTTTCATTATGATTGCCACTACAGCTAACATCCAGTTGTACAATTCATAGTAACACTTAACCTGTGAGCAAGATATCCTACTCTGTGTGATCTATAACTCACAAAACAAGAGTTTATTAAATATATAGCTTCTATCGATTACATGTATAAACAACGTAACGTATGTGTTGTACTTCTGAAAGCCCTTTCAAGGAAATCATTAATCTTTTTGTGTCTTTTTGAAAAACCCCAGTTGAAAATCGCAACTTTTATGGATTAGCTTGATTAAAGTACATCAATTGCATCTTTTGGATAACGAGCATAGTGTTCACAAAACACCTTGTTTGCCGTAATGAACCCAACTCTGCACTGTAGGGTGATCATCTAAATCTTTCATTGGTACACCCTGCCCGTTTCACTACTCCAGCCGGCTCATCAGTAGAGAGAAAGAGGAGATAGGTGGTTTCTGCTACTCTTTCATAATTTTGTTAAAACTTAAACTGAAGTATTGATACTCGTTGTGGACTTGTTTTGTGTATTTTCCCTAGTGCTCCAAAGGAGATTACTCAGAATAGTCTAATTTTAATGTCATTTCTGCTTAACACAATGGTGTTTTTTTCTCTTCATTATAGGTGTGCTCCTCACACGATTATAATGGAGGCTCTGGGTTCTGCAGTCTGTTGAGTAGTGGATGTGAGAGCAGTTAGATGTAAATGTATATCAAGTCAGCGTTTGAGTTTTGCATCATTAAAGAAACAAAAATACTTATGTATTCAAATAATGTGTATTTTGTCAACTTGTAGAAAATGTTAATTCTGAAACTGAGTAGCTGGGACTGTAGATATATGCCATCATTCCTGGCATTGTTTGACTTTTTTTTTTTTTTTGGTACCTGGAATTGAACTTGGGACCCTGCGCTTGCCAGGCAGGCGCTTGTACCACTGAGCTATATCCCCGGCCCTTGAAAATGTTAATTCTTAGGTACATTATTAGAAGTATTTCAATTGCTTCTCGGCCTTTTGGCTAAGATCAAGTGTAGAAGTATTTCAGCCAGGCACGGTGGCACGCCTGTAATCGCAGCACTCAGGGAGGCTGAGGCAGGAGGATCATTGTGAGTTTGAGACCAGCCTGGGCTACAAAGTGAGCTCAAGGCCAGCCTGAACTGCATAGTGAGACCCAATCTCAAAAAAAGACAAAAAAAAAAACAAAACAGAAGTATTTCAGTATGGAAAACACTTTAATCCATTAACAGGGACGTAGTAAGTTTGTTGTTTGTTTTTTGAGACAAAGTCTCCCTATGTAATTCAGGCTGGGCTTAAGTGATCTTCTAGTCTCAGCCTCTGAGTGCTGGGATTACTGGCATGCACCACCACACCCAGCTGGAAGTTACCTTTGAATATAAATTCCAAGTTACATTATTTCAGAAAAAGATCAAGTGTCCATGTAGATTTTTGTCTATTTGAGCCAGAAAGGACCTTAGAGATCAGAGGCTGATCTTACACAAAGGCAGTAATCACAGTAAAGAGTGATCTTTCTGCTGGACAAGGTAGTGCATGCCTGTATCCCCAGCACATGAGAGTTTGAGGCCAGCCTGGGCTACATAGTGAGACCCTGTCTCAAAAAAAGTAATCTGTTCGACATCATTGTGATAGGTAGAATAATGGCCCAACAAAGTTGTCTGAGTCCACCCTGGAACATGTGTATGTGTTACATTATGTGATGAAGAGCTGAGGTTGCAGAAGGAGGCTGGCAGTGCAGCTTGGTAGCAGAGCACTTGCAAGCATGCCTAAGGTCCCAGGTTCAGTGCCCAGAACCACAAACAGCAAAAGGGCAGGAGCAGTTAAGGTTGCTCGCCAGCAACACTGGAGTGAGACTACACAGGGCCCCTGTAATCACAAGGGTCTTCAAAAGTGGAAGAGGAAGGTGGCACAAGCATGTCAGTGACGCAGGTAAGGAAGCCAACCTGCCATCTGAAGGTAGACAAAGGCCAAAACCTAGAGAAAATCAAGAAAAGTAAATGTCTTGCTGAGCCTCCAAAAAGGAACAGTCCTGCTGACCTCTTAACCTCAGCCTAGAGACATCTACAGAACTGCAAAGTAATAAATTTGCATTGTTTCAAACCATTATGTTGGTCACTGCAGCAATAGAAACCTGATACTATTGAGTAGAAACTGAGACCAAGAAGTCAGGTATCAACTCCAAATGAAAATGAAGGACACTTTCACTAAAAGACACACTTTAAAACTCACTTCTGAGCTGGGCCTGGTGGCATACACCTGTAATACCAGAACCAGGAGGGTGAGGTAGGAGAATGGTGCGAGTTCAAGGCCAGCCTCAGTTGCAAAGTGAGCTTAAGGCCAGCCTAAACTGTATAGTGAGACCCTATCTCAAAGAGACAAGAAAAGAGACAAAACTGACATCTCTTTTTAAAATTGACTTATTTGTACATGATTGCAGTATATAATCATTACATTCACTACAGAGGATTGGTACATGTACATAGCACATTTCAATTCAACAGGCCTCCCCCCCCCCCGAAAACCTTATATCTCTTTAGGGAACAGAAAACTCTTAAGACACTTGAAAATTTGGAAACTGATAGCTTTAGGTAGAATAAAATAAGTAAAGAGTATCCACTGCTTGTCATTCTCTGAGGATAGCTGCTCTTGCTAACCTTCCTCTTGACTGCCTTTACGGCTCCAGAGGGAGCCATTCATGAAGACACAGCTGTCTGGAAGAGCTTCTAAGAGCAAGAGCAACAGAAATGCTGTCCGTGCTGTCCATATATTGGCCACCAGTCTCATGACTAATGAGCATGGGGAATGTAATTAATGTGACTTCATTTTAATAGTATTAAATTTAAATCATCAAAGATGGCAGAGTGGTAAGCATCAGAGAAAGCCTCTCAGAGTCACCATCCAGACACTGGAATATAGCAATGTGAGGATGACAAGAAGGAGGAAGTGGGCCCCCTGGACCCAGGAAGGATCTGAAGCCTGAATTGAAGCCCACAGAGGGAGGAGAGAAACTTCAACAAAGAAGATGGAGGTAGCCAGTGGTGCTTATTCCCTGTGATGGACCACACTGCTTGAGAGGAGCGGTTCAAACCTGCAGACACATGGTGACCGCTGGCAGCCGCAGAAGTCTCCACACACAGATGCATCAGTGGAGAGGAGTAGTGGACATGAAGGACTTCACTAGCTGGTGGTGAGTGCTGAGGACTCAGTTGTCCTGTGTGAGAGAGCAGTTGACCAGGAGCCATCGTGGGGAGGGGCCAGCTGAGCTCAGAACTCAGAACTGCTGCTGGCTCCATCTAGCAGCTCCCACCTGGGCTCAGGTCCATGGAAGGTGTACTGACAGCTGCAGGCTAAATGAGTTTGGTCTCTGCCAGAAGGTGCAGGCTCTCTGAGATTATCCACTACCCCACCAAAAAGCTACAGCTGGCTTACTGGGATAAATTGACATGGATCAGGATGCTGTCTCCACAGGTTGTCTACCAGTGACAGCAGAGACATACCTGGAAGTGGACTTTTTCTTCTTAACTTTGTTTTGTGTTGTGGTTTGGGCTTTTTGTTTTTGTTTTTGAGACAGGGTCTCACTGCACTTCAGGCTGGCCTTGAGCTCCCTTTCTAGCCCAGTCTGGTCAAAAGTCACAACAATCTTCCTGCCTCAGCCTCCCAAGTGCTGGGACTACAGGCATGTGCTACCACACCTGGCTCACTTTTTTTTTCTCCTTCATTGTTTGATCTTGTTTTTATATGAGTGTGAACATGGTCTCTAGCCTCTTTGTTGTTGTGGTTCTGTTTTGTTTTTCTTTTTATCTCTTCTTTTTGTCTTTCCCTCCAGTCTTCTTTACCAGTTTCCCAAAGTTAGTGTGATCTTTTGTCTTCCAGCCTTACATCTAATGTCTTCCTCTTCTTCTACTTCTCTGTTTTCTCCCTAACCAATTTTAAATTTTAACTTGTATACTGTGTATAATTTTCTGGCTTGTTTTAGATTTTGTTATATAACCACAAATCTAGTTCATATGGTTAAAGGTGGCAAATTAATAGTTGGCTCAGGTTGTCAGTTTCTAGGCTGTGTTTGATGCTATTGTCATTGCTGATGGTACCAATATAGCCAAACTGAGGTAATTGTTCTAAGCAGGTGTTCTCCCTGGTACTCCAAGACTGAGATTCACTAAAGGTCACAGAAAATACTGTGGAACATTGCAAAGAACCAGGGGCTTGGCCAAACAGGGAGTAACTTCTCATCCCCAACACATTGAAAAGGTAGGATCTTGCAGACTCAAACACCAAAAAGCAGCTACACCTGGAAGTTATCTCAGACATCTAGTCATTTCCTAAGGGTTCTAAATATTAACAATAAAGCAGCACACCATAAGCAATTTACAAGTATTTAAACTAAAAAAGAAAAGAAAATGAGAAAACGCTTAAACAAGATGAAACACCAGACATCCAGTTCACCAAAGGCAAACCCAGGGGGAAAGTGAGGTGAGACAATCTGAAAGCAACACATCTGACCTCTCTGAAGTGGTAACAACAGCAATTGAATGAGGCTCTAGAAAAAATTAAATCAGAAATAATTTCTCAGATAACTGCAGAGATGGTGTCCACAATGAAAACCATGCTTAGTGATTCTAGTGCAGATACAGATTTTTTTTTTAAACAAGGAGTTTAAGAAAATGAAGGAAGTCATAATGCTCAGCATAGAACAGAAATGGAATCTTAAGGCACATTCAAACAGATATTCAGGAGAATAAAAATTCCATTTAAAGTAGCAGCAAATTAAATCAACATGAGGACAGGATCTCAGATACAGAAGACAGGTTGTGGTTAGTGATCATGAAAAAAAGATTTCTTAAAAAAAGCAAGGGGTGGGGGCTGGGGATTTAGCTCAGTGGCACAGCACCTGCCTGGCAAGCACAAGGTTGTGAGTTTGATTCCTGGTACCGGAAAACAAAAACAAAAACAAAACAAAACAAAAAAAATAGCAAGGGACCATGAGAAATCAACCTAGCAGCTGCTGGATGTTGCAAAGAAGAATAACTTCAGATTGATTAGAGTCAAAAAACAGGAAATAGCACAAATGTTGTTAAAAAGAACTTCAGAGATGTCATGGCAGAAAACTTCCCAGGTAGGGAAAAAGAATTTGAAATAAGTGAGGCTTATAGAGCTCCAATTAGCCATGATTAAAAAAACACTACAGCCAGGCATATCATAATCAAGATTCTAGAAATTGAACATAAGAGTAGAATTTAAAAAGCTGTTATGGAAAGGAAACTAATCACCTATAAAGGAAAGCACATCAGAATCACAGCTGATGGGGCTGGGGATTTAGCTCAGTGGCACAGTGCCTGCCTGGCAAATGCAAGGTCATGAGTTTGATTCCCGGTACCAGAAAAAAAAAAAAAAAAAAGAATCACAACTGATATCTCAACACAAACCCTCAAGTCAAATAGAGCTTGGAGTGAAGTATTTCAAGTTCTAAAACAACCTTCAACCCAGACTGATGACCCTGCAAAACTATCTTTCAAAACTGGTGGAGAGAGCTGGGTATGGTAGCACACACCTGTAATCCCAGCACTCGGGAGGCTGAGGCAGGAGGATCATTGCAAGTTTGAGTTCAAGACCAGCCTGGGATACAAAGTGAGCTCAAGGCCAGCCTGAACTGCGTAGTGAAACCCTGTCTCAAAAAGACAAAAAAAAAAAAAAAAAATTACTGATGGAGAAATAAGATACTTGCATGACAAAGAACATCTGAGGAAATTTATGACCA